CTTGCTCGATCGATGATCAAATTCAACCAGAAGATATTGTTGGCCAGGAAAACAATAGAGAATATCCACCAGAGAACAATGCTCCACAGCCAGTTTTCCAACAGCTTCGACGCAGTCAGAGAAACCTACAACCCAAAGATCCTGGATCCGAACCCAAAACTTCAGCTTTTATAAATGATGGGATTTTCGAATCACCCTACAGAGATACTATAGAAGATATAAATTTGGAACAAGTTGAAGCATTTCTTTCGGAAAAGGAAAACAGGGATCGAGAATTTTCTTTGGAACTCAGAGAAAAGGGGATTATCACAGCTCCTGGAAAACCATTTATCTTATTGCGTAGAAAAGAAATGGATGGATTAATGGTGCGGGGAGTCTATGAACTTGTTTGTCAAGACAATGAAGAGCTTCGCGATAAACGAATCTTTGGTTCTAGGATGGTTGATGAAGTGAAGGGTAAGGAAACTTCAATTCCATACGAGAAGTCACGTTTAGTAATTCAAGCGTATAATGATCATGGAAAGAACGAAATTTTGACCCAATCACCAACAATCCAACGGGTGAGCCAGCTTATAATTGTGGTATTGGCTCCCTCACTATCCCCATGTGGTATCTCACTTTTTCTGCGAGATATCACCCAAGCCTATGTACAATCAAAGACTAAGCTTGTACGCCCCATTTACGCAACTCCTCATAAGCAAATGCGAGATGAATTTCGTCTGCAAGACATTCTAAAGATCCTTATGCCTCTTTATGGAATCCCAGAATCAGGAACCCACTGGTATGGCACCTACCACAGTCATCATCAAACCAAACTAGAGATGAAAAATTCAACATATGATCCATGTCTTCTAGTAACTGAGAATCAGCAAGGGCCGTTTGGTGTTGTAGGCATGCAAACCGATGACACCCTCATCCTAGGAGATGAGAAATTCGTTAAGAAAGAGGGCTTTGAACTTGAGAAAGCAGAATTGCTCGCCAAGCCTATCGAGAAGCTAACGCATGATAATCCACTGATGTTTAATGGTTGTAAATTAGTGATTGAAAAAAATGGAGATTGCCTCAATCTTACTGAGAAAGGACAAGGAAAACGTCTTCATCAAATTAACCCCAGCTCAGACGACTTCAAAGAGACCTACCTTAAACAGAGAACTCGTGGCGCTTATATTGCTAGCATTTGCCAACCAGAAGCTGCTTTTGATTGTTCGATAGCCGCACAACATCAAAATCCCGGAAAAGAAGACGTCAAAGCTCTCAACAAGCGCCTTGAATGGCAGATGAAGAATCTAGACCGTGGGCTCCACTACATACCTCTGGATTTGGAGTCTGCTAAGATTTTTGTTTTTGTTGACGGCTCTTTTGCCAACAACCATGACCTAAGCTCCCAAATTGGTTATGTGATTGTTCTGGGAAATGAACCTCCGGGAAAAGGGAAATTCAGACTACAGGCCAACATTCTACACTGGAGCTCTACTAAATGCAAGAGGGTTACCCGTGCTGTACTAGCTTCGGAGTTGTACGGGATGGTAGCAGGAATTGATATGGCCATTTCGATTTCGACTACTTTAAATATGATTACCAAGCAGCTGAACATAAATCAAATCCCAGTTGTCATCTGTACTGATTCATTCTCATTACACAAATGCATGGTCAAATTAGGCACCACAAAGGAAAAGAGGTTGATGATCAATATCATGGCCATCCGGCAGTCATATGAGCGGCGAGAACTATCAGAAATTCGTTGGATTATAGGAGATAGTAATCCTGCTGACTCTATGACAAAGTCAACCTCTAATGGTGCTTTGAAAAATCTCGTGAGTACAAATAATCTTGATGTTAAAGTTCAGGGCTGGGTTCAACGTGAAGCGTCAACGAGATTGAATAACTGAAAAAAAAAGTTTGCCAATGTCGGTTCACAGGTGAGTGGGGTAGGGATAAAGGGCTTGTATTAAACGTTTACTTCCAAAAGTATTGGTCAGCTTATCACGTGATATAATTATGGCGCCAAGCTTTATTTCGTACTTTAGGTATTAATGCTTGAGGAGGGATACAAGAAAAGATAGACGGAATATACCACTTGTTTTTAGCACTTTTGAGGCATTAAACCAAGTGAACCCCGTTGTACCAACAACGAGGGTTTGACAGTATTCCACGGGGTGCGTTGTACAGCCTAGTGAAGATCTAGGTGGTAAGTGAAGATAGTAAATGGGCCAAATGGATGACAGGTCTTCTCTAGGAAGAGATGAATGGGCAACTTGTTGCAGTAGATGTTGCACGTGGGTCTTGCTGATGAAGAACTGGGCAATGGATATGTGGTCTTCCCGAAGAAGAGATGGGTGAACAAATGTATTGTAAAGTGTAAATAAAGAAGACGTTGCGTGAGGAGTAAATCTCTCTCACACCGAACTATTATATAAAATAGTAGAAGCCTTTGCCATCTGGAATTAATCGTAATCAATTCTTGCCAATATCTTCGCATTGATGGCTGTGTTCTTGTCCTTCTCTTCATGACTCTCTTGCATATCCTTAGATGGCTTTTTACACGACTAATTGTATAGGGGAAGCTATTATTAAATTGATGTCTTTAATTAACTACCCCTTCATCTTATCACGAATTAAAATTAGTATTAAAATTCTAATTACGGATCCGTGTAAAGGAGCTAAGCATAATGCTATCAACAGGAAGGCTGATAACCGGGCACAACAATTTCTAGAACAGCGTGCTCGTGGTGCCTATATCGCCTCGATCTGCCAGCCCGAAGCCGCCTATGATCTATCTGTGGCGGCGCAAGCACAACAACCTACAGTTGACGATATTGTTAAGCTCAACACTAGTCTTCAACGGCAGGTCGATAAACCCCAGCGAGGTTTAAATTTCGTCCCTGTTGATCTATCGAAGGCAAAGCTTATGGTATTTACTGATGGTTCTTTTGCTAACAACCGTGATCTGAGCTCACAAATCGGGTATGTGATCATGCTTGTAAACGAGAATGTTCACAAAGATTCGTTTGATATTAGAGGCAACCTGCTGCACGACTCATCAACCAAGTGCAAACGCGTTACACGCAGTGTCCTAGCAACAGAAATCTATGGTATGGTCAGCGGATTCGACTTAGGTTTGGCACTTGTTATAACTCTTAAGTTGATGACGAGAGAGCTTCAATTAAAACCCATCCCACTTGTGATTTGTACAGATTCCTTCAGTCTGTATGAGTGCCTAACTAAGTTGGGAACAACCAGTGAAAAGCGTCTGATGATTGACGTGATGGCCCTTCGTCAATCATATGAGCGAAGAGAGATTGAAGAGATCCGATGGATTAATGGACTAGATAACCCGGCCGATGCAATGACTAAGTCATCGCCCAACCAGGCGTTGACAAGATTCATTGACTAGAACACACTTTCCATAAGAATGGATGGATCTGTTGAACGACCAAGTTGCTCTGACAAACATATGAGTTAAGGACTTCGATTTTATTGGCTTCTTTTCACACAGCGCTGCTTTACGTTCTCATTTTCTGTTACTCTTTTTCTTTGGGTATCTTTGGGTATGATGGAGTTTGGGTTCTGGGAAAAAGAATAGACATTGCCAGTGTTGGTTCCACTCAGGCTGAATTTTGCAACCTCAGGCCATTAGGCTCGGCAGATAATATTAGCTGACTAGCCTGGAGAGGCCTGTGCGTTTCATCTGATTTGCAGAGTTTCGAAACACTCTGGACAGAGATAATTATTTATACAATTCAGTCCACTCTATTTCCATTCCCCAGCACTAGTGCTTAAGTCCTGTCAACACTATCCTGAAATGCAGATTCCCAAGGCATCAGTGATCCAGAACTCCCAGTGATCTAGCCACAACCAGCCACTTAATTATCGCAAGGTAACACTTCCTAGCCACTGCATTTCAGATACTAATAAACCTCATGTCGCCCAACCAAGCTTATCCATATGTAATCGAATCAATCCAATTGATCTTGATAATTATACTTAGAAATCTAAACTTTCATATACACTAAGTCTAGATTTCCAACAGATAACCACTTTCCCAGACGTCGTAATTTGACCGCGTGATCTTCTTATCTAGTTTGGGGCTGGGTTTGACTTGCGGAGTAGTGCGCTGGTGGTCGAGGTGTATCTCTGACATGACACTCAAAGTACCGACGCGCCACAGTATTTAGATCCGCGATAAACTCACAGAATGGTTTGAGAAGGTGTTGTTGGAGGCAATCTCCATTGGTTGCGTCATCAAGGATGCATGCAATATTTTGAAACAAGAGGGTTACCTCTTGATTCCTTATATCAGCGGCGGAGGTAGTTGACAGCAGCAATTCCATCAACGATTTCCCTACACTCGGTTGAGTGAAATTAGGAAGATGGGGATGGTGATCAGAGCGAGGACGGGGAGTAAAAGTATTCATGTTTAGTGCTTGAGGCAACTTAGTGGTTTGCCAGATTTTGTAGATGGCTTGGACAATCGATGTAAGTCCGAATATGAGAAGCTATAGATTACAACAATAGCAACCTCTTGTCTGTCTCTTCCTGCCTCGCCCATGTTTTTTCCATTCATCTACATGCTGATTCTATCAATGTGCTTTGGCCGGTCACGAGATAAGTTAAACTACAGAAAGTCTTCGAGGGCAAAAGAAAGTCAAGAACAAATAGCAGTATTATGATACGGATATCAAACGTGAGTGAGCTTGTTGACGGTTCTTATTTTGGGTATATATGTTTGGTTTTACAATGGTGTGTTGTGCAGTCGTGAAATATCTGCAAGTCGGAATTTCGACCAAAAATGAGCTATCACCACTCCTCCCGATCGCCAACTCGACGAAAACTCTCAAATTCACCTTTTGCCTTGATTGAATCTTGGCTCTGAGGAGATATTTCGCCACCAGGTTCGCAGAGGACACATCAAATAGGTGTTCATACTTCGTCCTCCTGAGCAACCTGCCTATCTCATATAAAATAAAATTCTTTTATCCTAGAGATAATTACCAGGTATACTATTCACCTTTCCATGCCTTGATGTGACCATCTTCTCCGCAAGTAAATACAGTTTGGTGCTAACAATAGTATCAGAACTTTCACAGGACTTTAATAGTTTGAGGTACTCACTGAGTCTAGGAAACAGAAGGATCTAATAATGTCCGAGCCATGACCCCCAAGTAAAGTAACTTTCTCATCAGTCATGAAAGCCCAAGGTGAGTTGTTTTTTAGTTGGATTAATTCGAAGGACTCGAGGCTATAATAAAATAAGATTTTGGGTTGAAATTTTGTCGTAGAAAAAAGTTTTACCTGTGTATTCCCATTCCCAATACTGCGCTTCCATCTTGCCTTCCAATAACTTGTGCGACATATTCCCCCCCGAGCTTCTTCCTTACATCATTGAAGTGAACTTGATGCATTGGGCTAGTGCTTTCATCTAGACTGGTCACTAAGTCGTATATGGACATATTTTCATCATGCGATAGGGCGTATATGTCAGTTCCAGTAATAAAATTGGCATGGTGAATTGAGGCTCCATGATTGATGGTCTGGTGCAGCGCCTCTTCTTCATCTGTGATATCTGAATTATATATATTGATGAGACCATCAGTAGAGCCTGAGAGGATAAGGTTAGGACATAAAGGATGAAACTGTAGTTCGGTAATGTCATCGCTGTGGCTTTCATTGTACTGAAGTACTGGCGATCCCAGAGTCCTCAAGTCCCTAATTATTGATGAGCTTCCGTAGCCAGTGTGTTCAGCCATCTTACGACGTACCATAACGCCACTGATGCCTGATGATTTGTTAACTCAGAACCAGTAGCCAAACGGAATGGCTGACAAATAGCCAAAGATAGTATGGCAGATGAATCATCTGGAGCTATATTAGCATATAAATCCCTAGTTCCTAATTGAACAGCAGGCCTATCGTGCATGCGATACAAACTATCTTTGGGTTACAAATTCCTGGTCAACTTACCGGCCTTGATTTCTCCAACCTGTTTATGCCCACTTCTAATATCCCACAATCTAACGAAGCCATCTCGTCCTGCAACTGCTATTAAACATGTGGTATCAAACGCTCGAAAACAGGTTGTGCTCTCTCCGACATTTTTAAGTAAGGTGCATGGCTCACTTAACGATTGTGGATTAAGTATTCGTAATGCATCATCCGAACAGAGCGCAGCTAAACCTTCTGTGAGTGGTAGAATATCATAAACATAAGTACTTCCAGGGGCGCCTATTTGAACGGAATCGATTGTGTTAAGAGAGAACATATTGCATAAAAACGGAATATAATTTCTTTGGCTAAAGCCGAAACTAAGTCTATTAACATTGAAATTAAGGAGTATAAAGATAAGTCAGGTGATGCTTAATGTAAATTATTGATGAAGAGCTTGGTTGTTGAGTTTTCTATTGTTTCTGTGTGCCAGCAAAGACCAATTCTTCACCTTCCAGTGGTGCCAGTGTAATCACCCAGTATGCTCTGCATATCTGGGATACCCAAGATAAATCGCAACCAAATCGAAGTCGAAAGCAAACACATGCATATCTTCATTTGACGACTTCTCAACCATGCAGCAATCACCAATATCTTCTGAGTCCTCAACCCCGATCTAACCACATATTATCTCGCCTCGCCGACCGATAAAGGCGTCACCACAATTGCAAACAGGAGCTTGCCTCAATCATTACCGGCCGTTACTCACTACAAATTTACGATACTACGTATACCCGCAAGGAGGAAATTAAGTCATAATATACAAAGTTGGGGTCTTGGTTTCTGGGGGGCTGCTGCTCTAACGGGGTTACACATCTTGAGGAAGAACAGGCGCCTGAGTTGTGGAGCGAGAGGGAGAACAGGTCTTCGATGACTGTGCTGGACCAAGATTTTCGTGGAGTTTTCAAATTTGGATTCCTTTCTGGGCGCCAAGACCGAGATATCGGCTAATTAGCCAGGAGGGCTTCTTTGTCGATGAGTCAACAGCACTCCCCACCGCCCTGGACGGCACAATAGAAGCTGGGCTAAGCTACTACACAGCAATCACGCTCTGTCAAAATTTTTCTGACATTTCACCAAGACCTTCGGGAAGGAGGCTATAAAGGCAGAGTGTGAATTCTCCGAGGTATACACATGTCTACAGCGCCTAGCTGGTCGGCCTCTCTGAACGCTTCAGAAGGATCCTTATGTCTTCGGATATAGCCCTAATGTCGGTATTAGGAGAGTCCCGCATCCAGTGGTTTTAGCGATTATTCCCGGCTGCCATACTCCCGCAAATGGCCATCGTTTCGTTGGCTAGAGAGAGCAGATAATAACGGGATCACGACTCCTCTAGTTGTATACTTAAACAAAGACCCATGGGGGTATTACTGCTAGAATAAAGTCGTGAAACAGGAAAAGGAGGGATTACACTACTCGAGACAGATACTCCCGGCCTATAGTCAGAAAGAATCTAAATTTCCTTTAATATAATCATAGACTGAACAAGAAAATCATCACAGAAAACAAAATTGGTTATGTTTCTAAGGTGCCTAGAACCAACTTGGAAGAACGGCCGGGATGATATACCGTTGCACAATTCAATCCTGTAGCGATTGTTGGCCGTGTAGGCTATTGCTAGGTTTGTAAAGCCGTAGTGAAATGATGTGCGCAATAAATTGGAATGTTATCCGAGCGTTAAGCACCGTGAATACGTGGAGTGAGTGAGTGTTTATTGTCCTAAATAGTCTATAACTATGTAAGGACACGTAGGTCTTTTCTGCCTACGGGCCGGGAGTATCTGTCTCGAATAGTTTAATCCCTCCTATTCCTTCTTTACGACTGTGTGAATATTAGCGTTGTTTGTTTGTTTGTTTGCATTTAACGCCAAAAAGGCTCACGGGAATATTGGCGTTGGTAGAGTAGCTATGTGGAAATTTACGGATATTAGTCACGTGGTGTTAGTGCGGCATTGGGGTTTACTTCCCATCATTATTCAAGATACATAGATAGATATAGTTACGTTTTAATCAATAACCATTTTACCCAATCTTTGTGCTATCACATTAACTAGAACCGATGATAAACCGACAACAACTTCTTTCCAGAAGCAATCCCCCCGCAGGTCTTCATTCGAGTACACACTAAGAGGAGTCGTTATCCCGTCATTGTTTCCCCTCTCCAGCCAACATCACGATGGCCATTTGCGGGTGTGTAGCTGCTGGGAAAAGTCTCAAAAACCACTGAGTGCGGGACTCTCCTATGACGAAGATGCCGTCCAGCCGGGCGCAGCAGACCTGTGTATACCTAGGAGCGTCTCTCAACCTTCCTAGCCTCCGTCTTCCTCTTCCCCTGATTCATGCCGTAGGACAAATCGTAGGTCGTGAAAGGATGTCAGAAAAGTCTTGGTCGAGAGTGACTGCCGTGAAGGAACCTAGCCTAGCATCCAAAACTTGTTACGAACGTGGGGTTGTCGAGTAACTCATGTATTTCACATGCCCTCCTGGCTAGTAGATTCGGACGTATTGATTTGTAGGGACGATATTTTTGACGAGTCGAAATCTGCCTTTCTTGAGGGCGGAAGGGTCTTTTACTTTGCTTTCGTGGGCTCTTTGTTCGCCCGCCGCTGGGTAGCACATGTTGTGATATAACGAGGGCTTCTCTGACTACCGTTGTAGCGTTTGTGAATACGTGGAATGACAGTGGTCATAAGTTTGTCGGTTGAGTTGTGGCCATAGCTGGATTTCAGAGAAAATGAAGCCCGATCGTAACAAACTGACAATACGTTCTGAAGTAATCTATACAACGTAAGTCTTTTATGGAATCTTGATGTTGAAATTTATGTTGAACATTTCAGAGGCTGATGTTCGGTTCTAATGTAGTTTCATGTGATCGCTGATCCATACACAGCGGCTTTGGTTTATAGGCCCAAAGGATTAAGCCGGCCTCATTAAAGTTCCTCTATCTTTGATTGGCTAATGAGTAGGCACAATTGTTCGTGCGTAATATTTGTCAGCCGCCGAGGAGCATGAATGAGGCAAATCCTTGAAAGGACACACGATTGTTAACAACGCTCACTAAGGACTACAACAGACATGACCTTTTAACACAATCCTGAAATATGGTGATCAACAATCCATCAAGATTTAGGAGGACTGACTAATCCAAAGCACTACACCATGAGGGATTGGGGGTTCCGTTTATGGTTGTTGATCTGTACGCAACAATGCATCAAAATAACTACAGACTAATTTGAAATCATAGGCTTCCTACAAACAATTTCACTCATATTAAGTGCAGAATCTGGTGATCAAAATGAAGATACCGGTAGCGCTGAAAGTGGCCTCAAACAATCAAAATCGTCCCTATCTCCAGCGGCGACTCAGCATCTAATCCAACAACCCGAAGATAAGCCTCAAGAAATATACGGTGATAAAATACACTCAGGTTAGAGCCTTAGACTAATAATTCTAGGTTCACATCAAGTCGACAACGCTTTATATATTTTGCAAAAATTCGAGAGGCAAAATCCACGATTAGTAAGAAAACGCTCCGCACTTGTCGGTGCCATCGGTCAACACCTAAGAGCCTTATTACCGCAAGTGATAATACAAGGATCTCAAGAAGGCGCGCTTCATGATGGTCCAAAGATACCAGGACATCTTGATGATGCCGTGAAACTGTTAGAGGAAGCAGCGGAGCTCAAGAATCCTGATGCGATATACCTTCTCGCGCAGATGAACTTTTACGGCAACTTTTCACACCCAAGGAATTACTCCGAAGCATTCAAAAGATACCATCAACTTGCACTTTTACATGGAAATAGCTCGGCACAGCACATGTTAGGATTTATGTATGCTACAGGCATTGGTGGAGCCCATCAGCCAGATCAAGCCAAATCTCTCCTATATCACACGTTCGCTACTTATGGCGGCAATAAAAGGTCTGAAATGTCACTAGCTTTTCGATACCACGCTGGAATAGGGGTTGCAGCAGATTGTAACGTAGCTGTAGAACACTACAGGAATGTTGCTAGGAAAGGAATCGAATGGTTCAGATCTGGTCCTCCTGGTGGTATGATTTGGGTTTCGGACTCTTATCGGCTCGCGGATGAAAACGGTGGAGTATATGGAGAAGGTGCCAGCTATTCAAGCTCAGGCGAGAATAAGAACAAGCATGGGGTACATTCAGACGCATATGCCGCCCTTGATGATGTCTTGGAATATCTTGATCTAATGTCACGCAAAGGAGACTTCAAAGCTACGTTCAGCTTGGGAAGAATCCACTATGATGGACAGAAAGGTCTTCCTCGTAATCTGAAGAGTGCCAAATGGTATTTTATGAGGGTAGCAAAACTATACTGGCAAAGAGATGGACGAATCATAGAGAGCGACAAGCCAGGTCTAGAAAAAGTAGCTACTAAAGCAGCCGGGTATATTGGGAGAATGTTCTTAAGAGGAGAAGGAGTTGAGCAAAGTTATGAAAAGGCGCAGGTCTGGTTTCTCCGGGGAATAAAAAGCGGTGACGCGGGCTCTCAATGGGGAATGGGCTTAATGCTACTGGAAGGACTCGGTGTTAACAAAAGCCCTATCAGAGCTACCGAGTACTTCAAAGCTGCTGCTGATCAGGACTACGCACCAGCGCAAGTTAGTTTAGGGACTCTCTACTTGGATCAAGGCACATCAAATGATATTCAAGTCGCCAGCCGATATTTTGAGCTTGCAACAAGATATGGACATATCGAAGCATTCTACTTCTTAGCTGAACTTATGGAGAAAGGAATTGGACGAGATAGGAACTGTGGGCTAGCAGCTGCATACTATAAGAGTGTTGCCGAGAAGGTGGAGCCTCTTCTCTCCTCTTTCACTGAAGCAAATTCTGCATATGATAATGGCCATGTCGAACTTGCCTTGATCGACTACTTGCATGCGGCAGAACAAGGATGGGAAAAAGCACAAGCTAATGTTGCGTATCTTCTCGATGAACAAAGGTCACTTCTTAAGTTACCATCATGGCTCTCATTTACCACCCCACGGCCTGAAGTAATGAAAAATGGAGCCCTAGCACTCACACATTGGACGAGATCAGCCAGGCAATCCAACATCGACTCTTTAGTAAAAATGGGAGATTACTATTTGAAAGGCATTGGGACTCCAGCAGATATGGAAAAGGCAGCTTCTTGTTATGCTGCAGCATGCGAGTATCACAAGAGTGCCATGGCTTACTACAATCTTGCCTGGATGCACGAAAATGGCGCAGGGCTTGACCAAGACTTCCACCTAGCAAAGAGATACTACGATCTTGCTCTAGAAACGAACGAGGAGGCTTATCTACCAGTTACTTTGAGTCTCTTGAAGCTGAGGATTCGAAGTGCTTGGAATACACTAACTAACGGAAGAATAAATTCTATACAAAATGAATCCCGTGAGTAAGCCATTATCTTCAGTATTATTAATGTTGAGAATTAAAGCAGCGCCTATAAAGCAATGGTCTCTTTCTGAGTGGGTTAGCAATTTCCTACGCGATGAGAAGAAATTTGACAGTCGAAGTTATGACGAGGACTCTCCCCAAAAAGATACGATTCCGAGTGGCGACTCAGATGGCCTTTACGATGATGCAATTCAGGACGGGATTTTTGAAAGCCTTATAATTCTAAGCCTATGTGCAGCACTAGTTTTCCTAATTTGGTATAGACAACAACGTCAGCAAGCCCATCAACGTGACCCCGGCGCTGGTGTAGCGGGAGCCCAGTTACCAGGCGCTGTCGCTGCTGTGCAGCAGCAGCGTGGTGTGTTTCCACAACCAGGAGAGCCTGAATTTGCACAATGGGTAGCGGGTGGAGTAGGGCATTAAAAATGAATTTCTGGTCGTATTGCGAGAGTAAACACAATGAATATCCTTTTAGTAGTGCAATAACATTAATTTCAATGTTGCCGATAAAAACGTTATAATTACGTAAGCGAAAGGTTGCCCACTCCGCGACCTGAGTCCCCCTTCATGCCCAACACCTGCCTCTTATGTCAATAGAAGTGAAGTGAAAAACTATCAACAGAAGAGTTACCAATACGAATTAAATTCTACATCATGTCCACACCTGCTGCAAAGCGTCGTCGTATCCATGCAGCCAATAAGACACTTTCAAAACCTTTCCGCTCACCATTTAAACCACAGCTTTCGTCGCCTGATGCTTCATCGTTGAGCTCCGACCCGGTATCCAGGTACGGTGCCAATGATGAGGTGTCACCTAACAACATTACATCTGCAGGTTCAAACCTGACAACAAAAAATCAATCAATTCGCTCGGTCTCATGCGCGAACACCAAGTTAGGACGAAGATTTCAACCAACAATTTCATCTCCATTATCGTCAAACTCTCTACTCAATAATGACCATGATATTGCACCGCTACTTCAGAACCAACGAAAGCTAGAAAAACAACTCAAAGATCTCAAGAAAGATTTAGAAGTTGCGGAACAGGCAAAAAAGATTGAGCAAGAAAGCTACAAGAAGAACCCCGAGGAAAAGATCGACGGAGAGCTTAATGAATTAATAACAAGGTGGACTTTAGCTAGTCGGCAAGCAGCGGAGGAGCTCTACTGCATAGTGAAAGACCGGGTCAATAGGTATCTTTTATGCTCTGATTATCAGAATGCCAGTCTGAACTGAAAGCTAACAAATTAATACTAGTATGGGTGGGCCTCGAGCTTGGAAAGAAATGGAGAAGAGGAGGCTAGAGAATTTCCATACTTGGGATCAGGAAGTTCAAGAGAAAGAACTCGACAGTGATGGAGAAAAAAATAGTGATTGCGAAAAGAGGGATATTTACGCTGAGTACAGCATCGATCCGGAGACGGAAAACGAAAAATCCCAAAAAGCCAAAAAATCCCACACCTCTACCGAATTTCCTGGCGAAGAAGATGTTCTGAACCATTCTCTAAATAAAATTAAATTTTGCTAATATAACGCAGGATTTCACTATGGCGATGATGTTGAGAACTATGAATATAGATCTTAACACTATTGGTTACGACTGCCAGCAACAACGATGGACAGATTGATTGTTCCAAAAGAACAACATTTTGCACTAATAGCTACATTATCTAGTTTACGCCGACCTCCTCTTGCATATTCTTTATGTATCAAAGTTTTTTGCACGGAATCTGACCACTAATATCAGCATAGTGCGTTTGCTGATGAGCCACCGGGACTCGCTGCCTTCTTCGTCGCCGCCAAGAATTAAGATTCGCGACAATTCTATCAAAGCGACCACTCTCAAGTTATGAGAGAAAAGACTATTTCCCCAGATCTATTCTGCCGATGTTACTAAAAAACTTGGCATACAGCAGTAACTAGCACCGCTCCCATCATAACATGAAAAATATTTTCATGCCACTGGGGAAGTAACTATGAGAAAAAGCTAAATGATTGAACTTAGCTTTCATACACAAAATCATAGTCTCCATGAAATGATGTATGATACGGCCTTACAGATTCTCATTTCTGCAGCGCCTGATGTGAGACTTTCCTCTAAGTTTCAATCTTCCCCTACATCGCTTAGACGTAAATCCGCGGCAAAATAAGTATGTGATCATATTTGTTTCAATAGAATCAATCTCAAGGACTTATGACGCTACGTCAGTACATCTTCGCCATTTATGGAAGTCAGAAAGCTCTCTCTCGGAGTGACATCTAAAAAAACGAGCCATGGCATGTTTCGAATTCAGGATCATACAATTGCCTTGTGAAAGAGAAGATAGAATCTCTATTGCAATTGATACTTTGTCTAACATTTCAAAGTAAAAGCCGTCATTTTATAAATATGACTAATTAATATGCTGTATGCAGTATTCTAGGACGAAAATACTATCATTAGTGGATCATGGCGGAGCCCATACCATACACTTCTTAGGAAAACATTTTACAAAGATACATATTCCACCTCGCAATGGTACGCGGATAGAAGCTAATTATGTATGATTAGTTCTGTTATCGTGCTTATCGAAAAAGCAGATTTTTCCAGGCAAGTAAAATGTGCAGCTCTCGCTTCTAGACTGGATCACATTGTAACTCTCAGAAAACTTTGTCATCATAACCATCTTCTATAATTTTTTTCCTTGTAAAATTTTGTGTTGCTGGTGATTAAAACTATACCGCTCATAGATCATCTTTTACGCCCAGTATCTCTTGCTAACTCCGTTCCTTAGATGTACCTGCTACGCCTGGTTTTTCTCTAGAGCTAAGGCTTGGTAAATAAATCATTGCATCCGCAAAACAAGACGCTGTTAAATTGATTGGAGCCATCCACATCTTATTATAACCGGCGTTTCCAGCTTTGAACATATTTTTCAGCTAGGTTTAGATCAAGCCTCGAGATGTGACCATTCCGGGATAGCCTTGATCTGTGCCCACATAAATTTCTCAACTTTATTGGCACATTTTGCATATGGCGTTGTTTCGTTGTTATACTTACGACAATTGTTGAAGACGAGTTTGGCATCTCGAATAAATTCCTCTGGCGAACTATAATTATCTGCTTCCAATTTGACTTCCATTGTGCTGAAGTCCATCGGCTCTTTGATTATTTCATAATAATCTGCTACCTCGTCCCGGTTGACAGGATTTAAGAATGGCCAGGCAGAATTATGATTCTGTAAATCATTCAAAAGGTGGAGCAACTGGTTGTAATTGGGACCATGTCGAGGCTGACGGGCGAGCTCATCCATATCTGGTGACCAGCCTGATAATCTGATGGCCGGTATATCTAGTGGCTTGATTTTACCTTTCCCGTTTTTCCACCCACCATCCTTCCACTCTCTAGGAGGTGAATGAACGACGTGGCTCTTGCTGAAGGCGCGAATCTTTGCATGGACTGCTTCTTTTTGCTTTAGTAGCATTCTGCTTATCTCTAAATACCTCACTCGTGGCATCATGGAGCACTGCATGATTGTCCCACCCTCATAATCTTTAATGTATCCCATCCATACCGACTTTTCTAAAGTTATTTCTTTTGTGAAACCTTGTTTCTTGAAGTATCCAATGGCATAATTATCAGCATAAGTTAGAAAGTGCATCACGTCCGAAGTTGCCTTTACGTAGTCTTTAAGATGTGACATGAGATGTGCCCCATAGCCCTTAACCTGCTGGTCAGATGATATTGCACAAAACACAATTTCTGCAAATCTGCGGCCTTTAAATGGTCTGTATGTGATTCCTCCAACTACCTCAAGGGGATTTTTCACTATGGCCATGGACAAATGTGTTCGGTCATAGACGAGTCGAGCTATATAGTCCTTCGGCATTTTTGGTAATTGCTTTTGAAATATACATTTCAGCCCAGTTAGGATGATAAGATTTTCTCGCTGATTATCATTGTTAACAACCCGGAATTGTATTTCCCCAGTTCTTTCTTCAATTATAGCAGGTTTTTCTGGAAAGGCAATTGCTGGGAGTTTATTTTCTGGCTGACTGGATTCCGTCTTTATCCGCTTAGTGTTTGGAATTTCATTGGGTTCATCGGTCGCTTTCCTTTTTACTGCTTCAAGTTATTAGTGAGACCTTGTAGACGAAAGTTCATACTGTTATCTTTTATAGGGCCCATATTGATACCATTACTACCATGCAGGATGAGACTTGGTATGTTTAGTTACTAAGATCGATTAACTGGTAAATATTGGTCTTCTCTCGTGGAGGTCACCAATATTATTGAGTATTTTGATGTTATTTCAGACTCTCACTCGGGTTAAGAATAGCTCCAGTGTAAATTTCGACGGTTGAGGTGAAATGTAAAGCTACCTTTATACTTTTTGGTCTCAATGTTTGCCTGTATAATTGTTGTCGAGAGACTTAGTTGTGAACCGTGACTCCAAGACCTGGAGGCACTAAGAAGTTAGCGTGTGCTATAAATTACAAAATGTAAAAACCTGTAGCATTCATTTTGATGTAAGACTATTGTCATTCTTACTTTCGCAATCAAGCCCATCGGATGGTGCGCGTGTCGCGTTAGCAGGCAGAAGATTCATTGTTACTGTGAGTAATGTAATCTATTATTATCTGTGAGGAGGAATTACCCTAAATGCATCTGCATTTCGGATGATTGTTTAGCCGATCTGGCCATGTCTACAGATGAACCTACTAGACACCCAAGTTGTGACCAACGGAGCAGATAGTGATCCGCACACTAAAGTTTAAGCAGCACTCTTCAGCTTTGAGAGCCTGTATTCGTCACTTCTTGTTGTCATGGACCAATCTTTACTCTCTGAATGGAAGAATGCCGTTGGCAACTCATTTGTCCCGTTCATTGGGAAAGAAAATCATTTTACTGTTGGATTTTCCCTCCTAGTTGCTGGAATAATTTTAAGTGGTCTTTTTGGTCTTAGTAATATTTTCAAATTTTCTAGGTATTGTCCTCGCTAACATGTCAAAGATAGATCAGCTTTGAACATACCATTGATATGTATTCCAGCTTCTTTGGCGATTTCGTAGGTCTAAGTCTATACCCTGCATGCTAGAATTCTAATTCCTTGCAGCTTTGGCTCAATTTATATGATGTGCGCAGTCGGGGTTTATGTTTAACGTAATTCTTTTAAAAAGTCGAAGAGATTCCTCTACATGAAACTGTAGTTTAGTTGCCAGATACAGATCAAGGCTGTCTTTTAATAACAACATTTTTAAAACACTTGCCAAAAGTTTTCAATTTATCTAGTCTTACTTATGACAACTGTCGATGAGCATGATTGTCCGAAGCCAATATTTAAGGCAGTATCGGGCTCGACAAGACAGCTCTTCCAGCTACTTAAGTGCATTCGCTTTGCTACGAAAGTTCACATTCAGATAAGCAGTGAAGGTCTCAGATTCGCTGTTGAAGAATCGAGAGTCATGCAAGGTTATTCATCCTCGAAAGTACTGGAAGCTGAATAGCTGATGATAATTACCTAGGAATCGTTTTTCTTGATAGGGCACTCTTTACTTCCTACTCATATCTCCATCCTGAATGTGAAAGCAACTCTGAAGTACCAGAAGAAACATCTGAGCTTCCAAACTTCCAAATCTCACTCCCTGCATTGCTTGAGACCCTTCAGATGTTTGGAGTCGCCGACCAATTCTCTTCTCGCTTTTCCAAGTCTGATAATGAATACAAAAGTAACATTAGGCCTGGTCGCCCAAATGCATTTAGTATTCAAAGCCTTGGAATGCCAGCAATATGTCGTCTTTCCTATGAAAAACATGGATCCCCTCTTAACATAGTCATTGAGGAGTCCAACATAGTTACGACCTGTCATCTTAATACTTACCAACCAGAATTTTCCGATGAAATTCCATTCCAGCGAGACGCAATTTTAATCAAAATTATCATGCAGGCTCGCTGGCTTTTCGATGCTATCTCTGAAATTTCATCTACATCTCCGACACAGTTAGAGATAAAAGCCTCGCCAGCCTCTCCATATTTAAGCTTTTCTGCAACTGGAGATATCGGTAGCGCCAGTGTAGAGTTTTCCAATGGTAGAGATCTACTTGAGACTTATGTTGTAAGCGACTATTGGAGCCAGAGTTACAACTTTGAAATGATAAAATCTGCTACAGAAGCAATGAAATTAGCTAGTAAAGTGAGCATTCGAGGCGATGAGCAAGGAGTACTAAGTTTACAATTTATGGTAGAAGTTGAAGGTTCTGGTATCAGTTACATTGATTTCAGATTTATCCCGCTCATTTCAGGTGAAGATTTGGATGGAGAAACAAACTAACTGATGTATTGTCTAAATATTTATTAAATATCACTTCTAAACTAGTTCATTTACAAGACTTTGGAAAGTTTTATTTGCTAGAAAATTCATTCTTTAAATTTTTTTTGGCATATAAGATAATAGTATCCTACTGTAATTATTATTTTATAGCGGTGAGCTGCTCTTTCTAGATAGTTAGCAAATGATACATCCTTATCCATCTTTATGTGAGCTACGAGCTCTTAGTGACCTACAGCCTTATCTTGCTACATGCAGATGATAAAATATTGACCTCTTTTGTCTGTAAATAAAAGGTAGCTGGTTCAATTAGACCCTGAGGGCCCATTAAAAATTTTGGAGTAAAAGTAAAGTACTGAGATCTCTACTGTCCTAACCAAAATAAAACCTCGATTTGTAGATGGTAGGTTTCACAGGGTACAGTAAATAGTACTTGGTATTCAGATAAGTGTGTGGATCTAACTACTGTACTTAAGGAGATACTACAAGGCTGACTAAATAGCCTCGCTTACTAAGGTCGCACTGATATCCTCCCCTGCTCCCCTCACCAAGATAATTTATATGTTACCACATAGACATTTGTCTCCTACAAGTATTTACAAGTCATAATAGAGTGTATGAGTATGCTAGCATGGTGAATCAGGACTAAACCTCTCCAGAAATGCGGTGGCTATATGACATTGACCCCAAAATCCGAGTAACTATTCCAACCCGAAACATTCTCGACAAAATATAACAGCTTATCGAGATATACAGCTTGGCCAAAGCTATGTGACGCAAATAATCCCGCGTTATCTCCTTAATACAAGTGGAGAGTCCCTATCCAGCAGCAAGTATACCCCTTCCCACGCCTTTCTTGAAGGCTTTTATTGAGAGATGTCACAGTCTAAGCATAGGCAATTGGGTGTCATAGTTTCAGTACAAAATGCATGAGCAATCTTGTAAGTACAGTATGTTAATTATGATTCTCTAGCAAGAGAATTTCTAAAGCTAGACTATCAATATACAGACTGAGATACTCCTCTTCTATAAGGTTCTCCCTATGACTAGAATAAAATGGACTCCTCGACAATATGTTATAATAACGAGGTCATGAGGGGACAGAGGAATACCTGAAATGGATGCAAATGATTATGGATGCGCGGATATAATTGATATGGCTGTAGTGAGAAGAAGCGTTGGAATGGACAGTAGTGAGATGGTTAATTTACAATCTATCTGCAGAAGTATTGCTTCCTTATATATACATTCAGTACCCCAGTCCTGATCACGCACTCACCACAGGTGCTTCCTACTTCTGTCACAGTAACCACTTCCATAGCCCCTGCCAATATCTCCTGTCATAACATACTATTGACACTGGTTGCTAGTGTGGAACTCCCGGGATTGCAGAGCTATACACTGATGTCACATTATATGCTGTTGCCCCTTGGTAGCCATCAGAGTGATGTGCGCCTCAGTCTAAACGCATTGGTCCACCAGGCAACGCTCGGATGTAGGGATGTTGCCAGAGTGATTAGGTACTTAGCTGTGCTATCAGTGCCCTAATCTCACCTAGCTTACTGCGGCCGAGTGTCCGAGTGGCGCGATGGTGGGAGCCCGATGAGGCTCGATTGGAGCTGACCCGAGGTATTCACAACACTCCCCCTGGCTCCGAAAGGAGTCTTCTTGATGCGACCGTAGGATCTGTGATCTACTGGATCGATACTGTAGAGTTAGCTTTGGTGAGGCTATCGGCTAGTTGCTGTTTGGAGTTGACATATATGACTGCTATAGATTCCTGCTGGTATAACTATCGACAGTAGTTGTGGCGGAGCGCTATATGCTTAGAGCGTTTGTGATTGTCGTGATTCTTGATTAGGGATATGGCTGACTGGTTGTCCACATATAGGTTCGTGCGATGTGACCCTTCAATGAGCTCAGATATATCTAGCTCTGCGAGGAGGGACTTGACCCACTGCAGCTGGCGGCAGGTTTCTGTTGCGGCAAGATACTCTGCCTCTGTCGTCGATAGAACGACCTCTCGCTGAAATCTTGAGCGCCAGCTTATCGGCCCCGATGCGAGTCGAATTAATGAGTCGGAGGTTGACCTACTGGTAGTGGTGTCGCCAGCAAAGTCTGCATTGCTGTATGCTTCAAGAATCGGTTTCTTCCTTTCTGCTTAAAACATAATCCCACGGTTGGGTTCCTTGGCTACATATCTCAGCACTCTACGAGCTGCCTGTAAATGCTCTTCCGATGGATTGGTCAGGAATCTGGCCAGGTGATTCACTGCGTGGGCAATATCTGGGCGCGTGTTGTTGGCCAGATACTGTAGTCCTCCGATCATCGAATTGTACTCGGTCAGCTGCTGTTTGGAGCTTTGCGTATCGCTTGGTTCCATGAGACGCTCAAGGGGTGTATTTGCGGTCTTGCATTCTTGCAGTCCGTGCCTCTCAAGAAGTTTCCGGGTATACTGTCCTTGGGATAGCTTCAGAATTCCTTTATCTAGGGTGCTGATCTATATGCCAAGGAAAAGGTCTGTCTTTACTGTCTTGAGCTTATACTTCTTGTGTAATGCTAGCATTAGTTTGTCAATCTTGCTGAGATCTGGTCTCATGACCTGGAAATCGTCCACATGCAGGATGACGAAGAGATCTTTCTGGCTATTAGTGTATAGGCATACGTCCGTTGTTGTCGGGAACAGTCCCGAAACGGCGAGAGTTGCTTTTGCGTGATCGTACCAAAGGGCTGCCGCTTGTTTCAGTCTGTAGAGCCCCTTTCGGATCAGTAGTATGCGACCCTCGATTCCGAATCATTCAGGCATTTCCATGTATAGATCTATGTCAAGATCTGGATTTAAAAAAGCCGTTGGGACGTCTCCTTGACGTCTATGCCAACCGAACCTATGCGCTAGGACGAAAATTATACGCCCGGTTTCTGCTCGTGGCGTTGGTGCAAATGTCTCGTTATTGTCAAGACCTAGGCGCTGAGTAAAACCTTTTACTGTACAGCGGGCTTTGTATTTTTCTAATGTGCCGTCTGCGAAGTATTTCTTCTTGAAAACCCACTTGCTTTTCATGACGTTGCGACCCTTGGGCAGGTTTTCGCGCCTGATGATCTGTATTGTCCCTGTATCTTTCAATGAGCGAATTTCGTCCATTGCGGCTTGTTGCCAGCGATTTCCTTCTGCGCCCTGTATTGCTTCTGACCATGTCTTTGGTTCGTCGGAGGGTCTTGCAGTTTTACCATGGTGGAGTTTGTAATAGTCTGGTCGTTTAACTGGTCTCCCTCTCTGACTGTGTCTGATCAGAGTTTGTGATGTTGACGGTTCTGGAGAATGCTGTTGTTTATGGCCGGCTACTTGTGGGATGCTGTCCCATCCGGTCATGATTTTGTCGAGTTTGGTTTCTTGGGGGCTTGTGTTGTGATCAGACCCACTTATAGATCACACAACTTGGAATGGCTAGTACTGGGCAAGTGAACCAACAGGACAAGCGACCCTGCGTCAATGATACGTCATCGGCACACAGCAATGACAACACCAGTATCTCAACCATACATGATTATATGATAACATGACGCAGGTATATCTAATGACATAGTTGTTGAATGGCTGAATGGTTGACAGTTATTGCTATTGATGGTATATTGTATGTATTGTCTTTGTGTATAAATACTCGCTACTAGACCTCTGTCTATGATCAACCTTTTCCACTCTTATATTCAATAGTCATCAATATAGCAGATCTACAATATATATCTGTCTTCTTCACGTTAGACTTAAAGTGCTATCCTGCATCAACCCAAGTTGACTGTTACACCCATTGTGACAATTCTTAGACTTCTCATAACCTCATTATTACAATAGGTTATGAGCCCGGGCTCATCACATAAGGAACAGTACAGAATAACCATGGGTCACAAGGACAACAAGATCGTCTTGGCACCAGGCGTTTCCTTCGTCAGTTGGGAGAACGACCTACAAGCCAAGCTAGCTCGACGCAAAGTATTAGGCCATGTCTTTCATAACATCGAAGGCATAAAACCAATTTCAAAACCAACTCCCCCGATAAGCTTTGAAAGCCAAAAACCATCGACTGAGAAGAGTCACGACTTGGTGAATGACTATGAGGAAAAGTTGGCAATATGGAAGTATGGAGAGATAGAGGCACAAAATGTAATACTGCAACGCTTAGATGAGAAGATCCGGCCAAGGCATTATCGGCACTGTACAGCAAAGCAGCTGTTCGATGAGGTAGCAAACACACACCAGCAGTCTGCTACAACCCCATACTCAGTAGCACTCCGAGCCCTTCATAATACCAAAATGGGGGATAACGCTGAATCCTACTGCAACGAATTCACAAAGAACCTACATGATGTGAACAATGCGGCTGAGTTAATGATAGAAACCCCACAAACATCAGCTGAAAAGACTGAAAATGAATTTGTTGTCTTAAAAGGATATGCAGCCGCCATGTTTGTAGAAGGAACCATGGAAGTGAAGTGGCTGAGCAATTGGAGAGAAACACGAGCGTACACTGACGGAAAAAAGTACGCTAGGTTGGAGGATATGATGTCTACTCTTAGAGTAGCAGCTGAGCAGAGATCTCTAAGGCCAAATCCAGTTGTAGCCTCAGTCTCTAATAAGAGCAGAATAGAACCAGGCCCAGATGATCCTTGTCGGAGATGTAGACATAAACATCTTAACAAAGATTGTTTTAAGCAACATCCTGAACTTTGGCGGTATAGAAAGGTGAAAGATAAGAATGGAAAGGCTAAGACTGCATTTCAAGAAGAATCAAGTGATGAGGAAGAAATTGATAAAAGACCGACAGTAGCCAGCATCCTAAATTCAAATGAAAAACGTATACTATATGATACTGGTGCCTCGCATCATTTTGTGCCAAACAAAAACAAATTTGTCAACTTGAAAAAGTACTCTAAAGCGTTCAAATTTGATCAAGCAGTCGGCTCCTCATCACTGACTCACTACGGTACAGCATGCCTAAGTATAGGGA